TTTTTTTTTTTTTCATTAATAGAGACAGGATCTCACTATGATGCCCAGGTTGGTCTCAAACTCCTGAGCTCAAGCAATCCTCCTGCCTTGGCCTCCCAAAGTGCTGGGATCACAGGCGTGAGCCACCACATCCAGCCTTGACGCAGGAACTTTTAAAACAAAAGTTAGACCATGTCCCCCTCCTGCCTCCAATGGCTCCCCTTTCATTCAGAGTCAAAGCCCTTACAAGGGCCTGTAGGCCTGGCATCAGGCCCTCATCGCCTCTCTGATCACGGCTCACTCCACTTGACTCACATAGCCCTGCTTGCTGTCCTTCAGGCCTGCTCCACCTCAGGGCCTTCACACTGACCAGCCCCTCTTTCTAGAACATTCTTTCCCCAGACAGCTTCATGGCTTCTTCCTTCATTCCTTCAGGGCTCTACTCAACTGTCACCTTCTGGCCAGGTGCAGTGGCTCACGCCTGTAATCCCAGCACTTTAGGAGGCTGAGCTAGGAGGATTGCTTGAGCCCGGGAACTCAAGACCAGTCTAGACAGCATAGCGAGACCTCATCTCTACCAAAAAAAAATAAAATTAAAATATTAGCCAGGCATGGTGGCACATGCCTGTAGTCCCGGCTACTGGGGAGAATGAAGTGAAAAGATCACCTGAGCCCAGGAGGTCGAGGCTGCAGCGAGCTGTGATCATGCTACTGTAGTCCAGCATGAGCAACAGAGTGAGATTCTGACTTATAAATAAATAAGCAAGCAAACAAACCTGTCACCTTCCCATAGAGGCCTCCCTGTCCACCTCCCATCAACACACCATCTCCCCCTCACTCCACCTCCAATGACGTGTAGATCATATCTTATTGTTTAATTGTTTATCGTCTGAGTCTCTCTCCATCCCCCTTGTGTATTTTGCTAGGTCTTGTATCCTCAATGCCTAGAACAATGTCCAGCATAGCACTGGCACTCAATAAGTACTTACTAAGCACATGTATAGATGTCTAACACAAGCATTCAGTAAACTGCACAACACATAGGGTATCTTTCAGTGTGTGGGTAACACACAATAAATGCTTTCAGGCCAGTCCCACCTTAGAGCAGCAGGGGCCCTGCCTTTCTCCATCTAGAAGGAAGCAGCTGCAAATGGAAAAGACAAAAGAACTGCCTCTTCCTGTGCAGCATTTTAAGCAGACCCAGGCATGGGCCGTCCACTTAATTTGCGTATCTTTAACCTAAAACTTTTGAGGCTTCCTAATTTTTTCCGAAGTTGCTCCGAAACCCTCTGCCTTTGGTAAAAGGTAAGAGAAAAATAAAATATGTTTTCGAATTTCAAACCTGAGTTCCCAGAGAGCCTTATGGAGTTTAGGACCATGGGTCACCTGTTCTCATTTGTCATCACAGTGTTAGCATGCGTTGACTAAGTATTATTTAGCCACATGGGATATACTCTAAAATGTATTCTATGGCTATGCCCAGCTTGGAGGCAAAAATAAGAATCTATAATTGCAATTTCATATGTGTGAAATTCATGGGAGTGAATCTTACAGGGAGAAGAAAAGACTCAGAGACCCAGAGAGATTTGCAGGTGACACATTCAAGATGCCTTCCCTCCCTCAAGCACCAATCAGAGGAGGAAGGACCGGACCGTGCTGCAGCACTGGGTTGCCAAGGCCAAAGCCATTGGGTAGCACCAGCATGGCTGGGTATCCACACATGGACGACCTTGGAGGAAATGAGAAATCAGGCCGGGATGAGGCAGGCAATTTGGAAGGCTTTATTTGTTGTTTAATGTTCCTTAAAAGGAACATCTGTGCTCCACAGAAACTTTTAGCAATATGTGCCTGTACCTTATATGGAAATTCACTAATGTTCTGGAAAACCTCAAAGGCTGGCTGCCTCGCAGTTATGCTTCCAAAATACAGTGCGGGGTGGGATAGGAGAAGAAATCGTCGGGGGAAATGTTTGTGTTTGTGCTCATTTATTTCTTTCAACAAACATTTAATAAGCACCCACTCTGCACCAGAAATTACTCTTGGTGTAAGGGATGTAATCGTGAACAAGATGCAGTGTGTGCCCCCAAATAGAATGTTCTGGGCTTCCTCGAATATGCAGGCGTGGGGATGTGAGTACCCGGTGGTGACAGCAGCGCTCCCCTCCCCTGCATCTGCTCTCTGTTCAGTAGCACACGGTCTTCAAAGATAATTTTAGGTTGCAGCTCTGTTTGATTTAAGATCAAAGTAAGCTGAGCCAGAAATGTTTACTGAGCGGTGTCAGGGTTCTCTCTGCATTTTTCATGTGTTCCTGTGGTCAAGGCAAATCAGTTGGGCTTGGCAGAGAAGCTGGTCAATAAACCACAAAACCAGCCCAACACACAGGACACCTTTGTTCAGTTCAGCCCCCCATCTTCCTGCACTAACTTGGCTCTAGGGGACCCATCGCACAGAGGGCCGGAGCGTCCTCACCCAGTTAATGGGAAAAGAAGCACAGTCATCTTTTTAAAAAACTGTCATTGCTATGGAAACAGGCTTTGCCGTTGCTGATGGCTACAGTCTCCTCCTGCCGCATTCAAAGGATGCACTGCTGCTTCTAATCAGAACATGAATACGATTCTACCAGCTAGTGGTTTTCCTTCTTAATGTTTTGTCAAGAAAACTGCCTTGTCTGGCCACCTCGCCCCCCTACCCCTCCCCAGGAAAGAACCAGTGCCCTGTGTCCAGAGGGAAACTGAAAAAAGGTGTCACACAGCTGCTGCTGTAATCCCAGAGGCAGGGTGCCGGGGGTCGGGTGACGTGCAGGCCCTGGGCCCTCCAAGGGCCTTCCCTGTGGAGAGAGATTCCAGGATCTCCCAAGGCCTCCTGATTTCAAATCCAGTGACCTCTGTCCATTCCCCACGCTCCCCAAATGTGCCATGTCCACTTCCTTCTTGTAACTCTCTCCTCTCTGGGTGGCCGTGCTCAGCCGGTTTCTCCCTTGGCCTCTCTGTCTTTCCTCTTCTGTAATGTTCCAGAGATTGCCTTCAGCTCTAAGCCAGGGATTGAGAGCGCACGTGGCCACGAAGGGCAAACCCCCTACAACCCTCACCTCAAGAACCCTCTGTGGGTGGTGTGGTCCTCAGACCCAAAAGTCTCTAAGCCTCGAGAAGATTGAGGGTTAATATTAACAACCTCCCCCATTCTATATGTGCCAAAATGAAACCTTTCAAGACTTTCCAAGTGTAAAATTCTGCTTAGCCAGAATTCATCAAAGCAAGACTTTCCTTTCCTCTTTTTTCTTGTTTTGTATCCAAGATGTTATATTCAGCCGGACTTTGGGGAATCCCAGCCTGCCCAGGACGTACTCCAACCCCAAGACACCCTCATTGCATGGAGAAGCAGTTGCTCTTGTAAACATGTTTACTGCCTTGGCAGAGAGTGAATTTCAGAGCAAAGTCCAAATTGGCTCAGAAAAACCTGAGTGATCTGCAGATCACAGGACTTCTGATAAGAGGTGACACCCCAGTGACGTGTCTAACAGCAACAGCAAACAATCAGAGAAAGCACATAAGGCTGACCCTGGTGCAGGGAGTGTGCTATTTTTACCAATCACGCTGCCGTGTTTGGTTTACTTTCCGAATTGTACACTGATCTCATCTACATGCTGTTCTGTAATTCACTCCACTGGCCATGTCACCCGGTAACCGCTCTGGCGCCATTTCTTGGAGACAACTTTGCGGCTCCCCGTCTCCACCCCTTTGTGTCACACGAAAGATATTCAACAAAGAGTCAGCCTGCTGCACACCCATGCCAGTGCCCTTAGGAAAAGTGTGTGTGTGGCACACACATGTGGACCCACATT